TAGGCCTACGTCCCGTTGAGTGTTAGGGTTAGGACTAGGGTTAGTGTTAGTGGTAAGGGTTGGCCTAGGGCTAGGAGTCAGACTTGGTCTAGGTTTTAGTCTTACTGTTAGGTTTCATTTTTGTTTATTTACCTCATGGGTTTTTTATTTTCTTGAAATGTGATTGATTTTCTCTTCAATTGGAAGTTCTGTAACTACATTCCTATTCTGTTTTTACTTTGTGGATTCTTTTGGTTGTTGTTATTGCAGGTATATCTCTAGCTCTGTTTTCAGTCTTATTGGTCAGTTTAACATTGCATGCTTCTGTATCTAGACTCCTGGTGTGGTGTTATAGGACTGCAAACCACAAGGTTGAGAGTTCAAACCCAGAAGCTGCTCCCAGGATACCTTATCCAGGGTCGCAATGAATCAGAATCAACATGACTTGACAGCACTTAACAAGAACAACACCGTATGGGTCAAGTCAAGGTGATTGTTATGAGATGTTAGTTTCAGGTTGTCTGCTGTTAGAGGTTTTCTGTTCAAAAACACTCCTTGTAGTATTTTATGAGGCTGGTCTGGTTCTTACAGTTTGTTTTGCATTCTGTGTGTCTGAAAGTTACCTAATTCTGCCATCGTATTTGGTGAACTGTTTTTGCTGGATATAGGATTCTTCATTGGCAATTGTTTCTTTCAGGGTTTTTTAATATAACTTTCCATTGTCTTCTTCCCTGCATGGTTTCTGTTGAGAACTCACAACCTAATCTCCTTAGTTCTCTTTTGTAGCTAACTTTTCATTTGTATTTTAACTCCTTTACTGACGGGGGCCAACCCAGGCAAATTATTTGAAGGTTCTCAAAAGGAGATGTGGAGTCGGCAAAATGAATTACACGGAGACAATGGGTCATTCTGAGTCTTAGATGATGCTCTTTTTACTTAACTTTTTGAACTCCTTATATACCGTTACAATACACCATGATCTCATAATAATCACTTACTTTAAGGTACAATCTATTCTATGATTACATTTTCTTTTGATTAATGAACATTCAGGTTAGATCAAAAGAAACATAGGGACATCAAAACATTTTCTTGATCCTTTTCATATCCTGCTTCCTTGTACCCCCTAACTGCCCCGATAACATCCGTGTGTCGTAAGTGATTTTGTTTCTCTCTATTCCTCCCTGAAATGTCAAGTTAACCTTTAAACAAAGTTCTACATCTTAACTTCTAACTCTACCAACATCTATTACTTTCTATAGGTTCATTAATCACAATTCGTAATCAAAACAAGATTTTTTACCGTAACTGTTGTACATATCAGTTACCTATAATTGATTTAACACTATAAAAACAAGAACATCAAAGTACCTAAAATTTTTGTGGTTAAGAATAAACATAACAATTCCCTTATACTAATATCTCTCTAGCTAAAACATCTAGTTAAATTTCTACTTTTATTCTTACGTGCTCCCATAGCTCTTGATTGTTTCTAGCTACCTTCCAGGTGTCTTAGTGTCCCTGACCAAAACTACACGGGATGTTGATTGTAATCTTAAACTTGAATTAGCAAAGATTTAGATGGTGTGGTTTTTTTCTAATGATGAAACTCATTGTTAATGTAAAAGGCAATTATTATAACCTAACATGATTAAACATAGTGTGACGGTGTCTAAATGTAATTTTAATTTTTATTATGATTATAAAAAATTATCAAACAACTCTTATAATGAAATAGAAAAATGAGCCATGCATAAAAGGAAAAAACAAGAACTGAAGGGACTTTGTATGAGGTTCTCCTCGGGGCTTTGCCATCCAGAGGAATCACTCATTGTCGTGTGGCTAAAACAATGAGCTTTTCATGCTCAGGGTTCCCCGCTGCTCCGCTCCTTGATGGCATGGCCTCCGCCACTTTACAACTTCAATCTTTTCTCTATTTATCCTGATGTTGCTTACTGATTCAGTTGTGAGGATGTTGGTTTTCTTTATGCTGGGGTGTCATCCATATTAAAGACAACTATCTCTGCGTCATGAGGACAGAGTCTGGGATATGAAAGCTGATTAGTGTTTCCTCCAAGTGACAGGGAGACGGAAACGTTTCTATTAATGCTCAGGAGACACTGAGGTTATATTCACAGCAGAAGACTGACTTGGAAACCAGGGTGAGAATGGTTGTCCAAGTCCAAGAACATCTTCAATGTCCCTGAATTGTGAATGTAAACATTGTTGAGAAGGCATAGGTGTTGTTATGTATATTTCCATTTCAGTACA